TTGGCATGACTATGAATTTCATCACAAAGCTTCCCAGGACCGCACGTAGGTTAGATTCTATTTGGGTCATTATGGATCGGTTGACCAAGAGTGTACATTTCATACCGATTCAGGAGAGTATTTAAGTCGAGAAGTTGGCAGACATCTACATCAGGGAGGTAGTATCTCGACCTGGGGTGCTGGTTTTGGTGATTTTTGACAGGGATGTGCGGTTCACTTCCAGATTCTGGAAGAAGTTTCATGATGATTTTGCCACTTGTCTGCACTTCAGCACGACCTTCCACCCGCATATGGATGGTCAGAGCGAGCGGACCATTCAGACTTTGGAGGATATACTGCTAGCGTGTGTTCTAGACTTCGGTGGTAGTTGGGATACCTACCTTCCATTAGCAGAATTCTGTTATAACAATAGCTACTATGCCAGTATCGATCAACCTCCCTTTGAGATGCTTTATGGGAGGAAGTGTAGGACCTCGGTATTTTAGGGGGTGAGGTGGGATAGAGGGTCATGGGGGAGTACCGAAGTGGTACGTAATACGATGGACAATATCCAGCAGGTCCGAAGTAGGCTCCAAACTGCCTAGAGTCGGTAAAAGACTTATGCCGACAAGCGTCGATCGGACCTGGAGTTTTAGGTGGGAGATATGGTTCTCGTGAAGGTGTCACCTTGGAAAGGTGTCATCCGGTTCAGGAAGTGGGACAAGTTTGGCCCCAGGTATATTGATTTGTTCATGGTTTTGGCTCGGGTGGGCCGGATTACATATCAACTGGATCTGCCATCCGAGCTTAGTTAGATCCACATCACTTTTCATGTTTCACAGTTGCGAAAGTGCATAGTCGATGATATCGCAGTGGTTCCTTTGGAGGATATTCAGGTGGATGACAACCTGAACTACATCGAGAGACCGGTAGCCATTCTCGATAGGAAGACGAAGGATATGAGTAACAAGAGGGTAGAGTTTGGGAAGGTGCAGTGGCAGCACCACAAGGGTTCGGAATTGACGTGGGAGCCGGAAAAAGAGATGAGGTAGCACTACCCAAAGCTATTTCCAGCTGCAACAGATTTTGAGAACGAATTCTAAGACATGTGGGGAGAATTGTAATGCTTGGGTCCTGGTATGTATTTAACTCATAATTATTCCGTTTTATATAGAAACTCGACGAGTTAGAAGCCCCAAACTCTTCGAGTAGAGATGAATTGGACCGCGGGTTTTGGAAACCTACTCGATGATTTGGGAGGCCTCTACTCGATGAGTAGGCTGGCAGAAATGAAACCTTAATTATGGGGTTTTGCATCTTATTTAAACACCTTAATCCCAAGGTGCTGGCCTCATCTCCAGCCTCCACTATCCAAAACCCTAATCTCGAAACCCTAAGCTATTTTTGGTGATTGTAAGCTAATCTTGTGCATTCTTGGTGGGTTTGAAGAAGAAGAAGCTTGAAGAAGGAGCAAGAACATGTAAGAGGAGAGTAGATCTAGAAGTTGGGCTTCATTTCAGATTCATCTGAGGTATACAACTTCAACCTTGTCCATGATATGCTTAGATCTAGGTTTAGGATGCTTTATTTCATGATTTGGTCCAAGTATATTGGTTGTTGGGATTTGGATGTCCTATTTGGGTAAACCCTTGAGATCTAGGGTCATGAGGGGACTTCATGGCATAAAGGTGCCAACTTTATGGCCATGGAAGTCCCATGCAACCTTTGGACTGTCATTTCGGATTTCTAAGCCCTATTAGGTTATGCATGCGAGCAAGATGGGAACTTTATGTGACCAATTTGTCCCTTGAGTCCAGATCTATGACCTCATGGTCTATCTTGAAGTTTTGATGGCTTTTGGAGTTGGATCTAAGCCATTTTGGGTTAGGGTTTGAGTTTCATGTGTTGGGGAGAGGTTCTTAATGAATAAAGTTCAAAAAATTACCATTCTAGACGTATTTCCAGCTTGGATCCAAAAGATAGGGTCTTGGTTTGAAAAATAGGGACTTAATGCATTAAGAAGGTTGACAAACTGAAGAACTCGACGAGTTGTTCGAGAAGTGTCCCGACTCTATTGGAAAAAGAGGGACTCGACGAGTTATAGGAGAAACTTGATGAGTTATATCCTGATATCATGATTATATGATTTATAGAAACTCGATGAGTTGAAGAGTAACTCGGCGAGTTGAGTCAACTCGGAATGTTGACTTTGAATTTGACCTGGATGTTGACTTTAACTTTGACTTTGACCAAAGTTGACCCTTAAGGGGTTATGAGTATGAAAGGATGCCTAAAGGAAATCTTTTATGCTTAGGAGTTTGAGTTAGGTTGATATTCGAAGCTGGGGGACTATTCAGCTACTTTCCAATATTTGAGGCGAGTTATAAGTGGGTCGAATGCACCAATGCCGGCCCACTAGTAGTTGTTTATAGTAGAGATGATTGTCTTTGTGATAATCGTATGATATGCCACTATATGTAGAGATTTATGTGTTTGTATGCTATGTTATTATGTGGTTGTGGTAGGGGGTGAAATAGACCCCGTAACCAGTTGAAATAAACTGGAGGGTAGGTCGGGTACCAAAATATGTCTGACAATATGTTTATGCTATGTTATTATGTAGTAGTGGTATGGGTAAAATAGACCCCGTAACGGGTTGAAATAAACCGGAGGGTAGGTCGGGCACCTATATATGCCTGACAAGGAAGGTCGAGCACCCAGATATGCTTGACAGGTTAGGTCGGGCACCCAAATATGTCTGGCAGGGTAATCCAGGCACCCATATATGCCTGGCAGTATGTGATTATGTGGTATGATAGGGGAACTCACTAGGCTTCGTGCTTACAGTTTTCGGTTTTGGTTTTAGGTACTTCTTCTTCGAAAAGAGAGGAGTTGGCATGATCGTAGTGCATCACACTATGATTTCCGCTTTATGAGATCTTTGAGAGTTGTACTATGATATTACTTTTGTATGACATGTTTTGGTTATTTGAAATACTGGTTTTGCTTATGTAATGAGTTGATATTATCGATGGTTCAGACTACTGGTTTTTATAACTACTTATTTGAAAATGAAATTTTTGGCTTTAAATTTTGGGATGTTACAAAGAAAGCTTGGATCTACAAGCTCCAATACAACCAACACTTTTTCAATGAGTTCCTTCTTCTCCAAGGTGCACCAAGAACACTCCAAAGCACTTAAAAATACCTTATTTTTGCTCACAAGACTCAATCTAAGGTTAAGGTTTCAAGAGAGGGTGTTGGAGAGGTGGAGGTTAAGAATGAAATGAGTTTGGGGAAGTTAAGGAGCTTAAATATGGCTCAAACCACGAAAATAAGGTTTGTGAACTGATCATGTACGCCCTACATATTCCTAGTATACCCAACATACTATGGATGCCCTAGTACGCGCTGTGTACACCGCTAACCCAAAAATTGTCTTAACTTCAAACGATCGTAACTTCTTCGTTCCAACTTTGTTTTCGACGTTCTTTATATCCACAGAAAGGTAATGAGAAGCTCTACAATTCTATTGACTCTCCTTTTCCTTAAAACTTTTTGAACTCAAATCCAAGATTCGTAAAAGGCCCAAACTATCACTTTACGGTTATTCCCTCGGGCTCCAAATCACCAATCGAACTCTCGGATCAACTAATCTACATTACCCAGTACACACATCCAAAGGGGTCTAAATTTTACTTTCCCCTAAGGCCCGATGCCTTATGATAACTGATATTCGGGTCATGACCCCGAATTATTAAACGATTCGAAGCAGGGTGTTACATAACTAATAAATGAAAGTTGAAAAAAAAATCTTGTAAAGAGGTTTTAAACTGATCATATCTCAAACATTAATGGTGATGATTTATTAAGGAGTTGGATTTATTAAAAAAAGAAACAAAAGTTACCAACTGAACATGATATAACAAAAACAAATATACTAAATTTCTTAAAAAATAAAATAAAACATGTATCACACTTTTTGGCTAGCATATAAAATATTGTGATTACTCACATTACAAGTGCATAAGTGGAAAGAAGTCTTTTAAAAGTAAACCTTTTAAAATTTTGTTAGCGATCTACCATTTCTCTAGATAGATAGAATGGTTTGGCTTTGATTTCGATTGAGAAGAATTTCTTAAAAGTATTTATAATAAAAGCATAATAGCTAAATTTGCTTATAAAATACTAGAAGATATATGTTTAGAAAATAATAATAAGTTGGTGTTATTTATCTTTTTTTTAGAAAGTTGTTTATAGCAATTTCAATTTATTATCAACAAGTGAGGTTTAATAACATTTTACAATATTTTTTGATGGGGGCATCGATTTAATTTTCGCGCAAAGCCTCAAAAATATTCTTTTGGTACAAATGGATCCGAGATTTTACAAATGAGCCTCTTTGAAAACCTTCGTAAAAAAAAACCTTTTTTAATCATACAAGTTTTTTATATATTTTGTAAAAACTCATTTACCTTTAGAAAAATCTTTTGTAATTCCATTTGCAATAATCTACCACTTAGCTTTGAGAAATAAAAGTGTTGGATATAATGTCCTATAAGTCCTAACTTCTTTTATGGATATTTCGCATTTAGTGGTCAAAACTTATAGTTCCCAAATCACAGGTGCATTAAAATTTAAACATCCCAATAGTTTTCTTTTATCACGACATGCGAGTTCCCAAGCTGTTTTCAAGATTCGTTGTCAGAATTGATTCAACGTACATATATGTCTAATTGTCTATTGATAGCTTTAAATCTTACACTTAAAACAATTAAAGGTGAGTTTATCATGGTAAACTTAATTAACATATCATATGGATGGTTTTCATTAATGGTCATAGAGCAGTTTTATTACCGACATGACCTAACTACCAAACCTGGTAAAGTGGTATACACCACTGTGAATTGATTCAACGTACATATATGTCTAATACTCTAATTGCCTACAAATTTGTATTTGAAATCACCTCACTCATTCATACATATCAACAAAACGAGGTAATTAAATCTAGAATTAGACATATATACAATAAAATGTAAAGGCAAACCGAGGGTTGAAATACTTACACGCCATTTACAAACTATGATTCAAATTTAAGAACGTATGAAGGATATATTACAGGTTGAAATATGCATGTTTCAAAAGCATGTGAAGAGGAGATGAGATTGGCATTATGTTTTCTTTTTAAACACGTCAGCAAGAGAAGGGAGCTTGATCTGACCATTTCTAGTGACTGGTATGCTGATATCGCAAATGAGTGGGAAATCAATAATGAGCGTGACTTTAACCTCGTAGTCAATGTCCCAATCAACAGCGACATCCTTCACCAAGGTTACCAACACACTGTTTGCCACATCAATCTCAACATATAGTAACGTGTCACCTTTCCCCTTCAGTGAACCTGTGTCATAGATTGTGCCACTTGCAATCTCTCTAGTTTAAGATAAATCAATCCAAAGTTAGATATACATGAAATACAAAACATGCGTATTAATATAGCACACGTACGCATACTAATATACTCAAACGTATAATATAAAACAATAATTTGATATTGTTTTTTTGTTGGACATATAATATAAAGTTGTTTGTTTTTTCCTTAAAGGATAAGATGAACTTTTAAAATTTAAGATAATATTAAGAAAGTTTGTTTTATTGGATTTAAAACGTGAACCTCATCCAAATCGAATAGTAATATAACTACGTTAACCATATAATTGAATAAAAGAAATTGTAAACTCAAATCTTCTTCTATAATAAATAAAAAACTTTTTGTCAAATATCACATTCTTATTATTTTACCCACATATTATTTTATAATTATTTTCAATTAATTTTTTTCTATATGATATTTTGTGATTTTTTTTTCATTTTATTAATTTTCAAATGATATTTGAGTATAATAATTACAATAAATACATATCAATTTTATTAATTGAATTTGTTATGATTTCAAAATTTTTAAATTAAAGTTTTATTAGTTTCCTTTATTTATTTATATAAATTATTTGTTTAATTTAAAAAAAAACAAAATATTTAATTTTAATAATTTAATATATTTTTTTATTTTTTTTCTTATAAATTTAAACTTCTAAAATGTTTAGAATTTTATATTTTTTTTCTTTAAAATGAACCATATAATAGTGAGTTGACAAACAAGTTATAATGAAATCTCCAAATACGTTTATATATCAACAAATTAGATAAACTCGATCGTAAACCAAAAATAAATTAAGTTACTAATTTAAAATAATAATTATTAACTCAGAAGACAAGATAAAATAATAAATAAACTTGACCTGCCGGAACTTTTGAGAACGTAACGGATCTCGCCGAGTGGAATCGGTATGCAGTAAGGATTTGAAACGTTGACCTTAGCCAGATAAGTGACAGAGTGAGCGCCGACGCCTTTCAGATCGACATCCGTCACCCTCGCCTCCGGCTTCTCTATGCTCTCCACCGTATCGGAAAATAAATGCTTCACCATCTCCACCACACCACACATATGTCCGGAGAAGATAGTCAACCGCACTTTCTAAAAGTAAAACAATCGGATTAAGGTTTCGCACTGAGAACTTGCTTTTGCTCCAAATTATACATTTTTCTTGGTGGTGGTGGTGATGGGTGGAGTGGGGGGTAAAGGATCCATGGCCCATGGGTCTTGTCTCAATGAATGAGCCACACGTGATACTCGTTTTCATAATTATACTACATAAGATCAAAATAAACTTTCTTTTGAGGTATGGTGTAATACAAAATTTTAAGTACAATTTTTTGGGAATACTTGCTCAGCCCGAAAATAATATGTTGTTAAAACAAAATAAAATACAAGTTACAACATACCTTTGGTTTTATAAAAAATACAAAATAGTTATCCAACTATATCCTCATTCACATGTGGAAATATTGATAGTTTAAGAAGATAAACAATACAAAATTTGATTCAAACCAGTTAGCTTGTATTTTCGAACATCTTTCGGACTTCTAAAAAAATGTCAATTTACTTGTTCATAATTTTTATGGAAATTTACAAATATGTTTTCTCTTGACTTTCTACTAGAAATAGTTAATTACCCACATTACTTGTACTCTCTTGAATAGGGATCCACAGGATGAATGTTTGCTAAAGTTGTGGGAAATGATGAGAATGTCTATATTTCAATGAGACAAATAAGAAAAATGATAACCCCCAAAATAAATAATGGATTCACAACAATATTTTAAGAATCAAGAACAAAGAACAAGGGAGATGAACAAATGGTGGAATTCCACAAAGAGTTCAAAAATATCGTTAGTGTTCTTTCACATGAGCTTTGAATGGTTTACCATTTTACATACATAACTTGAACAACTAAACTCTAGATGTTGATTACTTAAACTTTGAGGATGAAAGTATAGCCAACCAAGAATTTGTAATTAAATTCATTAGCTCAGTCCATATAAACAAAACGAGGTAATAAAATCTAGTATGAGACGTATACATTAAAGGCAAAACGAGGGTGGAAATACAATTTTTGAAACAAATTAAATACATGTTTGATAATGAATACAAGCGTGCATATAACACCATTTACAAATTATCATTCACTCGAGAACTCATAAAGGATTACAAATTAAAACATAATTGAAAAGCATGTGATCACGAGATCGGCGTTATTATTATTTTTTTTTCACACATATTTAATTAGGAAACAAGTCGACGATGGTCGGAAGCTTGATCTCACCATTGCTAGATATAGGTATATTGATATCGCAAATGATATCTATAACGAGCGTGGCATCAAGCTCGTAGTCAATGTCCCAATCATCAGTGATGTCTTGGACCAAGGTTACCAACGCACCGTGTGGCAAATTAATCTCCGCATATAATATGGTGTCGCCTTTCGCTTTGAGTGATCCTATGTCTGGGATTGTCCCGTTCGCTATCATGCTAGTGTGAGATTAATCAATCAAAACACACAAAATATCATGATGAGTATAGCACATGTATAAAGCAAAGTGCATAAGTTGGAGCACTTTAAAATAAAAAAATAGCTTATTTTATTAATTCGATTTAAAACGTGAATCTCATCAAAATCAAATAGTAATATAACATATTATTATTATTATTATTTATATTTTTTGGAAACCTTAACTTTATAATCGAAAAGATGAATTTGTAAAATCAACGTGTTACGGACAAAAAAAATCCGATGAAGTGTTGCTGTACTAATTCACCGCAAGTATTAAAGCCATATTAATTCAACATTGTTGTTCATCAATTCTCTTTGTTGTTTCCTTCTAAATTTCTTACACACATAAACACGATGATATTTTGCTTCCGTTGGCAAAACAATTGTTGTTTACCAACAAAATAAATAAACTAACTCGTATAAGCGATCTAAATTTTAAGTTTTCTAGCAAAATTCCTGATAGCTAGGATAAGGATTAAGAACTATCATGGCTATATATATACGTTATGGGACAAATTAAGGCAATTGAAAGTGATAACGACTAGCAATTAAATCAGATTCTTACAACGACTATATATATATATATATATATATATATATATATATATATATATATATATATATATATATATATATATATATATATATATATATATCAGTTGTTAAGTAAAATTTGGATTTGACAGTTAAGGACTTCCAGTATTCCATGCATGTGTGGGAATTTGTGTGAGAGTAAGAGATAAACCAGAGGAAATCGACAGCATATATAGCGAGGAAACGAACCTGCCGGAACTTTTGAGAACGTAATGGATCTCGCTGAGTGGAATAGGTATACAGTAAGGATTTGAAAAATTGAGCTTAACCAGATAAGTGTAAACCCCATCTTTCTCACCTTTCAGATCGACATCCACCACTCTCACCTTCGGCTTCTCTATGCTCGCCAACGTATTTGAAAAGAAATGCTTTATAATGTCCACTACACCGCACATATCTCCACCGATGATCAATTAACCACAATATATATCAAAAAGTGTAAAACAATTGGATTGTTTCGCACTATTTAAGAACTTGCTTCTGCTCCAGTTTAGTGCAATACCATGCCACATTTATACATAAAAATGATGGTGGTATTATAAATTATAAAATTATATGGGTCTTGCCGCAAAGAGTGAGTCACACGTGATATTCGTTTTCATAATTTTTCTCAGATCAAAATACAAATTATATAATAGAATTACACCGATCGTTCGTCCCTCGTACACATGCCAAAAAGCGCGTTTAGTTCCATTTTCAAAAATAAACTCGGAACGTCTCTCGTTTGCATAAAACTTACACTTTTCGTCCCTGATATACGTTTTTGTTGCGTATCTAGTCTATGACAAATCTAAAATGACCATAATGCCCTTTGTCTATTTCTTTTCTAATTAATTTAATGTTATTATTATTTTTAATTAAAAAAAGAAATAGGGCCCCACCTTTTTAGAACTCTTAATTTAATCTCTCTCTCTCTCTCTCTCTCTCTCTCTCTCTCTCTCTCTCTCTCGATACCATTACTGGGAATATTCACCACCACCGCCGTATATCTGAACCACCACCAAAATCTCAATCTCCAGTGTGCCGCCTTCACATACCATCATCTCATATCGTTGTCTAAAACCCTAAAAGACCACCTGAATCTCCGTCTCCACCACCATCAAAAGCTTCATTGTTCACAAACGCCTCACCTTATTTGGAGCTGTCACGTTGTTCTGATTGCCGCCTCACCGGAGAACGTGATCTCTTCATCAGATCTACACCATCGTCGTATCCATCGTCATTGCCTTCATATTCGTGACAATTTCTTTTCTTGAAAACCTTCTTCATCTTAGATCTACACTATCTCAAATCTACACATTCGTTGTCACTACATGTTCGCCTGAAAACCGATTCGTTAAAGCTTGCAGATCTCGAAGTGGTGGCTCGATGGACTATCAAATCGGGAGACAAAGGTGGTAGTTCATCAAAGATCACAAATCTGGAGGATGATGTGTACCATTTTTGTTTCAGATGTGAGTTGCTTCGAACCTTCATCGTCTCAAGGTTGGAACATCCCCGCCTTCATTGTATCTGGGTTCCGATCTGAGGTTTCTTTACCACCATTATCTAGGGTTTCGAATGCCACCTAGGGTTTGAAGTTTGGTTTGGTTTGGTTAAGTGGTGGTAGATGGTCATTTCTAGTTATAGTCGACTAGCGGTTGTTCATGAGGTGTTAGCTATGATAGGTGGAGGCACCGGAGGTTGCTGGTGGCTAGAGGTGGATGGTGTTAGGAGGTGGGAGAGAAATAGGAGTAACATATGGTAGTTTCTGGTGTTGATGGGTGGTAGTTAACAGTGGTGACAGGTGGTGGTTTATGGTGCTGATAAGTGGTGGTTGTCGGAGTTGAGAAAGAAGAAGATAAGAGATATAATAATGGTGGTGGTGGTGTTCATATTTAATTAAACAATTATTTAATAGATTACTAGTTAATAATTAATAAACAAATAAAAAAAGAAATAAACAAGGGCAAAATGGTCTTTTATGTGCGGAGGGACTAAGCATGCAAGAAAAAACAAATCGATGGACAGTCCGAGTTAATTTTTGAAAATAGAGACTAAACACGTTTTCTGGTATGTACACATGGGACAATTGGTGTAATTTAACCAAGATCAAAATACAAAGTATATATAATAAGGAAATATTCAGAGAAGTCCTAGTAATTTACCCTAATTTACGAAAAAAATTCCAAACTATAATTTGTTTACGAAAACGTCCAAATTACTGGTAAAAATGACGATTTGACCCATTTTTTTCGGTTTTGCGGTTTCATTATTTACCCGGTTTCATTAAAATCCTATTATTTTACTATAATTTATGAATAAGTCCCAAAATAAAATTAAGTAACGATTTAGCCATTTTATCCATTTAACATACATTTTACCGGGTTCATTGTTGATCTAAACATCTAGTCACTAAATTAGCTGATAAGATAGATATAATGAGTTATATAATGCTATATTTACCATAAAATTTGATATCCATCTCATTGGCTCATTTATGATTATGTATCCAAAGTTAGCAATGAAACCGGTCAAATGTGTGTTTTTGGGAAAATAGCAGAAAATGTGTTGATGAGATAGATATATTAGGTTACATAAGATTAGATAGATAATTTAAAATTTCTTATAAATTTAAAAATGACAAAGTTGTTAATTATTACAGTTTTCGTTGCATTTTATATTTCAAAAAATATATAGTAGATTATGATATCATTTTTATGGTAAACTTGTAACATCTCAAAAATACAGTCAAAAAATTTCGTTTTAATTCATAAATAAAAACAATGAGCATCATACACCATATAAAAATCATAAACTATGGTGTGTGTCATGCAGTCATCCCGAATCAACTGTCAATATATCAAAATCATGTCAAAACATCAGAGTAAATCATCACAGGCTAAAAGTTGTGGTGTGTGCCATGCAGTCATCCCGAACTCTTCCCCTAGCTAATGGAAGTACCTGAAAACCAAAACTGAAAACTATAAGCACGAAGTTCAACGAGTCTCCCCAAACTACCAAATATCATACACATAATCATATAATAGCATACATTGGGACTTACCCACTACATCGGGCCTCGC